AATAAATAAAGTGAAATATTAGCTCAGTGAGTTAGGTATCTGGCTATGGAGCCAACAGTTGGGAACTGAATCCCCCACTCTGCCTTCTGCAAGTACAGCCTGGCTGTGTGGCCTTTGGCAACCTGCACTATTCCAGGGCGTACCCAGAAGAAGGGAATGGTAAACCACTTCTGAGTATTCTCTACCTAGAAAACTCTGGAAAGGGTCACCATTAATCAGAACTGATTTGACTCCACACTGTTGTTGTTGTTGTTGTTGTTGTTAAGGTGAAATGGGATTTCCTTGAAAAAGTAACTAGAATTGCATTTTAGTCTTGCCAAAGTTTCAGGAGACATATTATGCTTTTGAGAGATGAAAAAGGTGGGTTGTGTTTTTAAAATATTGCAAATGAATGAACTGGTGATAGCTTTACTGAATCACTAAATAAATAAAACAAAACAACAAACAGTGAGCTTTTGATGAAAATTCATCTTCCTCAGGTTGTGCACCAAGTAATTGTGAGTAGTTGCAAAATTATATGCTTTTATTAAAATCTCATGGCTGGGGCTGGGGTCAAACTTATCTTCTTAGATGGAAATAGTTGCAGTCTGCAGGAGGTCTGTGGGGCCTTAATATATTGCTCATTTTCTTTCAGTTATCCATAAATGGGACACAGCAGGGTAGGCAGCAGAAGAGAAAAGACTGATCTAATTTGTGCCATTTTAATAAACCATGGTGAACATTTGACATTTGATCAAAAGCTTTGCTTTTTTGTTTGTTTGTTTTTTTCAATAGTTCCATCATATCTGAACTGAACTCAGAGTACTGAGGAACTGGGAGAATTGTTTATGGTTTATGTATGTTCTTGATTTATTTTTCTTTATAATTCCAGCTTCCTAATCTTTTCCCTAAATTTTTCCTTTTCCATTCTAATCCTTTCATTTACATCCTACTATTCCTTTAATAAATGAAATTGTTTCATTTATTATTGCCATTGAATTTTTTCTAAAAGGCACATTGCTACTGTTGTTTCTCTAAGATGCATATTTGTGATCTCTGTATTATCAAACCAGTTTGTGATGATGGTTAAGCATTTGGTGCCATGAAGAGGAAGAGGGGAGAGAAATCAAGTTTCTGCTGATACTTCCCATACTGCTCTGAGATCCCTTGAAATTTAAGATGTTCAGTCTCTGCAGATGAGAGCATTCACAGTTGCTCTGAGCCTGTTATTTATGGGAATAGCCCACTTTACTGCAAAAAGACCTTCTTTTTGTAGAGGAGGTACCTAGGAGGAGGAAGACTGCATCTAGTAGTGGCTAGAAGCAAAAGAGAGAGAGAGAGAGGAGGGATCTTCCTGGACTCAGATTCCTGAGAAGTATTCTGATGGGGTAGCCATAACTGGCATGGGGATGGGGAGCAATACTGTTGGGAATTTATTGTGGAAAAGACTTCAGATTAAACTGTAGCCATGTGAAATGCTGAATTATAAATAATTCTCCATGGTACAGAAGTTATCCTGGCTTTGCTAATTTCTATAAAAAGGAGAAATCAGTATTTTTCTAGGAGCTCCCTGGGCGAAGGCAGCTGCAATAGCACTACTTAGGCGAGGTATGGACTAGAGCAGACAACAGTGTTAATTCCTGCATTTGCCCCTTCTGAAGCCGCTGCTATTTCTTTCCCTTCATAGGAGACATAGAATTTAGTTAGGAGCAAGTTAGTCATGACAAGAAACGAAAGTGTCAGCAACTAAGGTAACAGAAACTGTTAAAAACCATAAAGCTGACCTAAACCTTAAATGTGCTTCCACCACAGACCTTCTGAGAATAATGTAAATGAAATAACTGCACAATCAACAGACATCTTGGCAACTATTAATGTAGTCTTAGAAAAAAAACTATTATAAAGGAAAATCTTTATTCCTGTCTGAGGTACATATTGTTGTATGAGACCCTGTGTATTACAGATATTTTGTCCCTCATTGGAACCTGTCAGCCCTATCTTAGTCTACGACATTGTTTTCCCTATCAGTCCCTATCTTAGTCATATATTGTCTGACAGACTTCTAACTGAAAACTGCCTTGTATAGCAGCTTGACTGACTGCAGACACATTCTGATTGGTCACAATCCTGTACTATGCATTTAAACATACAGATATACATATACAGATTCAGTGTTGCATAATTGTACATACCAATACTGCTAAGAAAAGCATTTATACCGTATTTTTCCATTTACAAGATGCCCTTGTTTATAAGACACCCCTCCCCCTTTTCTATCCCCAAAATTAAGAAAACTTAGCTTTGAGTATTCAGCCTCTGGGCTCAGAGAGCTCGGACATTAGGAGTCCCTGTTGCATCTGAGCCTACAGACTCCACCTCCAACAAGGTGTGTTCCAGTTGGTTTGTTTAGCATCGCCTGACCTCAGTTCCATAAGGCTCGTGATTGCAGGAATCTAAGTCTCCTGACTGTAGGAAGCTAAGCCTCGTGACTGAAGGAAGCCTGTTTGCAGAGACAAGGTATTGGCTGTTTTGTTCTCTCCGTGTTCTCAGCTTACTTCAGTGTAAAATATACCCCTCAATTTTTAGTGTAATGATTTTAGGGAAAAGTAGCATCTGATACATGGAAAAATATAGTAAGTTTTAATGACCTTTGTACTGAAAGGCTGAGGCACGAAAGCGTTTCATGCTGGTATACAAAAGTTGTAGAAAACTGAAATACAACATATCAATTTAGTGGTGCTCTGCTCAATAAAAAGAAAAATTGTTAATTTTACTTAAATGTATAACTTCAGAAGAGGGGAACCAAGATGAAGGAAATAGAGTAATAAGTTTTGGTTGAAACACCACAGAAGAAAACAATAAAGGAAAATAAAGTTTGAACAAAAGGTCAAGAAAAAATAGGAACCCTCCACCCCAAAAGAACCCAAATAGACATTTCACTGTTTGTCTAAAAATCTGTATCTGGATTTTATGTGTAAAAAGATGCTGTAAAACAATTGAAGGCTAGAATGAATATGGAATAAAGAAGGCAAGATAACAGATTTGCTGTCCCAGGTAAGGTAAGGAGAACAGAAACCCTTTCTAGTGACTGTGCAAAACGTCTGGAGCCTTATCCTGTGAACCAACTTTGTTTAGAGATGTTTGTTATGACTAGTGCAACTGTTAAAATTTGGTTAAGGCATTATTTAACAGTCTTAAAAATATAAAAACACGTGGATCTCTAGAAAATACTACAGTTACTGCAAATTGCATAGTTAAAATGGAAGGTGGGGAAGCCCTACAAATATTTACCCTTAATGAAGGGAGGCTAGATGAGCCAATCAAAAGTTAAAGATTGTCCATTTTTGTACCAAAAAGAAAAACCTAAAGTAACAATGCTTCAGGAAATGCTCCACAAATTCCAAAGATAGAAAATTATTGTATCATGTTTGGGCAACATTTTGCACCATCTGGATAAACAGTATTGAGAAGGGTAGTCATAATATTAGCCAAATAAAAAGTTTTAGTTGGCAAAATGATCCTGAAGATTTCCCCAATTTCCCCCCTCTCTGTTAGAGTAGGTAAAGGTTCCTCTTGACATTGAGTCCAGTCGTGTCCGACTCATCCCCTTCTCCAAGCTGTAGACCCAGTGTTTTGTCCGTAGACAGTTTTCGTGGTCACGTGGCCAGTGCGACTAGACACAGAATGCCGTTACCTTCGCACCGTGATGGCACCTATTTATCTACTTGCATTTACATTCTTTCAAACTGCTGTCTGTTAGAGTAAGACACACCAAACACAGAGCAGTGTTACTCATCAGAGTGTGTTTTTTGTAGAACAAGGATGGGCAAAGTGGACCTTTCAAATGTGGTAGGACTGCTGCTCCCATCACTTCTACCCACTATAGACAATGGTGAGGAATGCTCTAAGTTGTAGTCTAAGAACATCTGGAAGACTGTTTTAGAGAAAATTTGTTAAAAGTCAAAATAAAGTTTAAAGAACGACATGCAATAATCTATGGGGAGAAAAGAAAGGGAACTGACACACAGCATAAAAGGAGGATGAAACAAAGTTTAGCAAATGTTAAATACCTTTCAGGCTCTTTGAGAGAAATCCACATTGCACAAATATACAAAATACAAATATACAAAACTGTGCATATTTCTGTCCAATATTGAGTCTTGTTGCTGTATTTATTATACATTAAATTCTGAACATCTGCTGCAGATCAACAAGCCATGATTGAAGTTATGGGAATCTGACGTACTGTCTGTAAGCAGCCCCTTATCTCCAAAGAGATTTATGGGGGTGCCGGAGACTGGGATGAGTCCGAAATCCAGACAAACCTCTGACTGCTGAGCAGAGCCACTTAGGTCTCAGCAAGGTCTTGTCTAAACTTCTTCCTCAAAAGCCAATCTCCTTTAGTAAGAAAGCAACACACAGACAAATCCATGAGTTATACTCAGAATAATCTGGCTCTAAATCTTTGGTAGCAAACACACATGGCCAATTAGACATTCAGCTGGTCTGTACAAGAACCAATGCATGCAGATCAAATCATTACTGCTTTATTGAAAAGAATTGCTTTAGAAAAGGTTTCAGTTGATGGTAAAATAGTTCAGTAGGTACATTTTCATATCAAGACAAACGGAACACTCCCCTCCCCCACTCCAGCTATAAAAATAAAGAAAAGGAATTATGCTGACTAATAAAAAGCATAACACAGTCCATCTCACGTATCTTGGGT